AGAGGCGGAACGTTTGAGCGGAATAAATAGATTCTAGTCGCGCAAGCTCGACGCGACGTAAAAGTGGAGAGCGCGCGGAGCGTGACGAATCTGGTTGGCAAACCCAATAGCAGCGAGTCCGAGATGTTCCTGATTGAGAAGTCGGAAGGAGGCGAAACGTGAACGCGATCGCGGGCATGAGACGGTGTGCGTGCGAACGTACGTGTATCGAAGCGTGGAGGAAAAAAATTGGATCGGTCACGGACACGTGGTGCAGCGCAACGAGATCTCGTTCGTTGCCGATTCAAACCGAAAAAGAACCCCGATGCGTTCTCCCTTCCGTACGATTCCGTTTCGCCCCCTCTCGCCCACATTCTCACCGACGGTCTGTCATCCGCCCTCCCTCTCAGCGCCGCAGAGTATATCGCTTTTCCTCTTTATTGCTCCCTTTTTCTTGCCGCGGTTCCTTCGGCACCCCTTAGACGAGGCAGAACGATGGTGCGTTGGTGCGACAGCGGCCGCAGTTAGGGGATGCTGAGTCATAGAGGACGGTCGGCGTGCCGCATAGCGGATACATGGCGTGTCACCCCGAATATTATTCGAGTGCCTGACAGCGCAATCTGTGAATGCGCGATATTGTCTGGTGACGGCGGTGGCAGCGGTGCTACGTTCCGACGGTTACGGCCGGCATGTGGGACTAGGAATGCCACGCATGCCACCCGCCAAAACATCGCCCACACCGACTTTATAATCCTTCCTCGCTATCCGATCGTTTCACTTTTTAGCTTCGAGTTGAATTTCACGCGAAATTCCACTTTTCTCGGATGTTTAAAATTGTTAGTAAGAAAAACACGAAGGCCAAAGCCTGGTGTCGTTAATAAGAGAACGTTGAAACGATAACAGAGACATCGTGGAGAATAGGAAAGGAGGGAAGAAAACCGAGGGATGGGCCGTGTCGGGGAGGAACGCGTACGGTACGGTCTGGCGCATATTTAACGGCATCCCGTGTCAAACGAGGCCATAAAACACGCTTGCGTCTAAATAAAATGCCGTCTGCTCGTCGCCCATTCGGGGAAACTAGGCAACGCGGTCCGTCCTGAAGAAACAAATCTCTCTTTCTCCTCTCCTCTCTCCTAAACCTTTCATCGAAGCATGGAAAAGCAAGCTACGAAGGTTACGGAAAAACCGTGTCCTTTGTGGTCGATTGTTTGGCATCTTTAAAGGCGATTCTACGCGTTTCCATATAGAACGGTTTACCGGTCGTTTCTCGAATAGCGGACTCGCGGAAGACGAAAGAATCTCGATAAAATACGGAAGAAGCTCCGAGGAACAGGTGTTCGCAGGCACGTGTCGTGAGCAGTCTCTTTACGGCGGCTATTAAACGATCGGCGTTGATCCACGATCTCGCGTAGTTCTTTCTAACGGTTACCTCCTAGTACGCCGCGAACGATCCAAATCCGGAATCGTGGATGGTTTATCGTTGAAGATAAACAATTCCAGCTTTGGAACGCCGACGGACTGACCCTTTCGAGGTTGTTTGCGGTGAATCGGTGAAAAGGACGGAGGCTTTGTTTCGTGGACGGCGTCGCCGGCCGATATCACGGTCGGATGAGTTTTCGGGGGCAGCGAGAAGACGGAAGTACGGAGGATATTAGGTGGTGTTGGCCGACTAACTGAGTGGTAATACGCGCGAAGGAACGCGGGTTAGCTCGGTGTCGCGGGTCGTGGGTCGGGGGTCGAGAGTCGAGGGGGCCAGCTAGAAGCCGAGGGTTCGTGTTTCGAGCGAGGACGTCGATAAGCGGTTCGCATTGTCCGACGGTCACGTGGCCACCCCTGGCCACCCTCGCCACCCGAAAACGACGCCGCTGCCCGTCGTTTATATTAAACTCCGAGGTTAATACCGCAGCTTACTCTAATACCGGGGCAACCCTTTGCCCTGCGATACGCCGATAAGGGTTACGCGGGAGCTCGCGAATACCGTACCGATCCGTAGACCCTCTTTACGAGCAACCTCGCTCGCCGCTCGACATTTCCTCGAGAAAATCGGCCAAAACTCTTCGAACGTGTGCCAGCTTTTTACCCAACCTCGCCTCGGTTCCAACGCGTCAAGCGGAACGTTGAAACGCGCGGTTGAAAAGAGGGCAGATAATAAAAGGAAAATGGGTAACGCTGAAAGTCAAGGGTTGGGGACACGACCCCGAACGGAACAGCGAGCAACAATGCGACAGATACAGAGAGAGTCGTGGATCGTGGTCCCGGATTCGCAGATAACGCGCGCCTCCCTTCCGAAAACCGTCCCTTCGCGCTTCCCTCCTGTCGTTTGCTCGTTTCGCTGGCATTCGAGGCTGCCTCGCATCCACCACCGTTCCACAACGCGAAACTTTATTACTTATATTTCTCTTCCGTGATTTTCTACAACTCGCGTACGATCCTTCGGCGAGGAGTATGTTCGCGCGATAAGTCGACCGAGAAAGCGTAGAAATCCAATCGACTCTCTCCGTTTCTCTCCGGGGACGTGGTATTTACGCGTCCAATTATGCCACGCGAAGCGACGCGACGTCGATGTTTCCCCTCGTTCGATCGACGAATCGGGGGATCGGTTCGCGTATGCCAATGGAGCCGAGCGAATAACGGATGCTCGCAGAGTTGAGCGTGATAGACGCTGATTAGACGGTAACTCGGCTTTAGAACGCAACGTATCCGTCCTTCTCCCGCGATCATTCCACCGGTTCTCGTTTCTCTGACCATCTCCGGCGGACGTTTCGAGAGCGCGACCGTTTCGTCGAGTCGATAAATTATCCGAGGTTAACAGGTGAGCGCGAACGACGCGCGAACGACGCGGCGCGATAATAACGCGGACGATAAACGCGTCAATAATAGAGCGGACGGATCAGGGACAGCGATCGACTACGAATAGCCTCTATTAACTCGCGCATACCGTTACACTGTGATACGAGCAAAGCGATTCTTCGATTTACTTTCAGCCGTGGACGATCGTTCGAACTCTGCGAGATTAGCCGCTCGAAATCCGGTTGCCTCGTCGCGCATACTTTCTCCTCGCGTCTCCGCAATGTCCCCGTTTGCCGATCCGCTTCGATACTCTTTAGCCTTCCTTCTCGCGATCGGACGCGCAGAGGCGCGAAATCAACTCCGGGCAAAAAAGTAATCGTTACGCGACCTCCTATCGGTCGAGGGAAATTATCGACGGTGAGCCAGAAATTTCATCGACAGTGATCGACTATGCGCGTTATTTACGCTTCAAACATTGCGACATCGCCTTCTCGAAAACGTCCGACGTATCGTTTCGCGGAAATTTACGCGCAACAGCGACAGATTAATCGTTCCCGAGTACGTCAAACTATCGATGCGAAATCGTCTTTAAACAGGCTAAGCTTCGCAAACGAAAAACGTCTCCGGTGCTTGCTCACCGGCTCGCTCGCCGAACCAAAGGGAATTGCATCGCATGCCACGTAATCGTGGGAGTGTTTCCCATCAAGATACACGTAGGTACCGGCACTCGCCGTAATGCCCTCCCGCATAAACATATCTGCATCGTGGCTTTGCATGCCTCTACGAGGTGGCCTCGAACCAGAGAACGCCGGAAAAATCTGAACCATTGGGAACGTCGTTTCCACTCGACGACGACTCGATACGAAATCCTCGTTGCTACAGGATTGTCGAGAAAAATTCGATGAACCTTCTCCGAGGATATTAACTGGAGTCTGCAAGAAAATAGGCAGACACGCGTTGAACGTTTCGTAGCCACCGAGTATGCGTCCTGTGCGCGGAGGAGAAAGCCAAAGCTAAACGAACTTTATAAACCGTGTCCCCGTTCCGCCGTTTTATCCGAACAATTAGACGCGTGATCCACGGTTACGAGCCGTATAAAAGAAAAAAAAAAAGGTCGCTGCCCCTCGAGATAAGCATCGAGCTTGACGTCGACGTCAGGGAGGAAAAAAGGGGAAGGAAAGAGAACGAGGAAGAAATCGTTCCTTTTTCAAAGGGATTTATAGGAAGAAATTATAATTTCGAAGAGTATCGAATGTTTACGGTGTTACGCAACGACGCGACGCGGGGATCGAGCACGCGTATCTTGAGAAATCTTGGAGCTCGAAGAAGGCGGACGAGGGGATGGGCGCGAAGGGTCTCGAAGGTAAAGGGCCCCGTAGCACGAGCGCAAAAGGGATCCACGCACGGTCCGTTCGAGGAGGAAAGAAAGAAAAACGAGAAAGTAGACAGGAGAAGAAGAGGGTCCTTGGTGGCGAAGGAGAAAAAGGAGAAGAAAAAGGGGCCAGCAGAAGCGAAGGGTGGTAGGAGAAAGGACGAGGAGCGGGACATTAGCATACGCTAAGCCGAGCTAAGCGCACCCATATAGCACGGAAATAAATAGCCGCTTGTCTCGTATCTACACCGAGACGGTTTACCATGGACCAGCCGGTCCCCCTAAAAACTGAACGCTCTCGGAACGTACGCCTTCTCGTACGCGTGCATGCTCGACCACCCACCGTAAAACCTGTATCCGTTCGCGAACGAACTCGATCGTCGGGAAATTCTGAAATCGTTATCACCAGATGGAACTGAAACGGACTGTCGAACGGAGAGAAAGAGGATTCGCGAAGGGAAGCAGAAAGGCGAGCATTGTCGCAACATCGACGAGCGAACGCGGCATTGTCGTCTCGACGAATCTGCAACGTTTGCTTAGGACGGGGATCGCGCGGTGGATGACAGTCGTGTAACCGCGATAACATCTTCGCGTCGATTAGACGAAGCTGCAACGGGCGACGCGCGTCAAGAGGCCGTCGCGATCCGAGAGTTCTTCCGGCGGCTATGCCACCGTTCGCGAAACCGGCCAACACCATTGTCCCCTTTCTCAGCTACGCTAAGCTGCTGGTGGACCGATCGACGAACGAGAGAACCGCTTTCCAGATAGCATCGGCTAGTTAACGCGGCCCTCCACGGGAAAGACTAGGTCCGATATATAACAGTTGACGACAGACTGGCCTGTGGTGAACGAGACTTACCTGTGGTGAAGAGGACGATGGCTTTCAGGCAACTGTACTCGGCGGAATCGACGTGCAACGCCTTCAGTTTTTCCACCTGTTCCTGAAAGATCCTGATGTGGTCCATGAAAGCGACGACCCGGTCCGCTGCCATTGGGGATGCGTGAAGACCGGCTGCCGCCAACAACGGCGCCACGTGCAGGGGCATCGAGCATTGGCTCGCGTTTAGCACGAACAACTCGCTCCAAACTAGCCTGAGCAGGGCGACCTGGTCGGTCACTTGAAGGTCCGGGAAGAACGGGATGTTTCTAGCCCACTCGACCGCGGAGAATAGCAATCTCGCGGCGAGTTCGCAGATGTTGTCGATTCCCATGATGTTGTTCGGTTGCATGCACTGGCCGTATCTGGAGGTCGGGTACGGTTCCGCCCTCAGCAGCAAACTTATGTAGGAGGAAAGGTAAGAGTGTCCGTTCAGGCTGGCGCACGCGACCGCGTCGCCGTTCGTCAGCGCGAATTGTCCGGGTAGACCTGGCAGCGACGGTTGCGACGGTGGCACTCGACCTCTTTGCACCGCTGTAACAAACATAAATCAAGAATTCTCCCATGCTTCTCTTCGCCACCTTTACTCGCGCTTCCCAGAAGGCGAGTCGACGCGAATCGTAAAAATTCCGACGAACCTGCTTCGCGATCGGCACCCGGCCACGCATCGCCCTCGGCTCGTTCGAGATAACCGAAGGAACCCATCCGTGCGCTCTTTCGGGAAAAAGTCAGGGAACCTCGGCTACTCGCACGCTCGAAGGGTACCACGCGTTTGTCAGAGTGTTGGCAAATATTGTGCAAAGGCAAACGCTTCGGACGAGGGTACAGAAGGATTCTTGTTCGAAAAGAATCGACAAACGCGAAAACAAACTCGTACACTTCATCTTTTCCTTATTATCCGACTAGACTTTGTTCCGCCATCGAAGGAATCGAAGGGGAAGCGAAAAAATAAAGAAAACCAGGGGGGTCAGGAAGAGGATCTTTCGCGTATTTCGCATCCCTCGGCCATTCTCTCCTTCGCTCCGTTACTCCGTCTTTCTTTTTCTTCCGAGGCTCGAGGAGAAACGGCACCCTGCTGCGCACCGCCTGAATTCCAACCTCCACCCCGCGGCTAACGAACATCGTCTATTCCATCTTCCCCCTTTCCTTCTTTACTCCTCTCCGACCTCTCCTATACTCCTCCTCACTGCTGCTCCCGACGAAAAAATCCTGTCCCGTGTTGCGACGTTCGCCGTTTCAGTCCTGGTACCCGGCAAACCACTTCCGCGATCTTCGATCCGGCCAGATATTAAACGCGACGCGATTCGCCATTTCGAAACTAATCGCGGACCGCGCCAGATCGCCGACTATCTCGGCCGTCGCGTCGCGTCGCGTCTAATTCCTCGCGATAGCGATTCGCGATTCTTCTCGACGCGGCGGGTCGGAGGTCGCGCGATTGTCGCGGACACGCGCGATTCCTCGAAAACCTCTATCGACGAGGAATTTTTCCCTTGGAAAATCGGAGCAAGCGGCGAAGTAGCTGGTCGAATCGCGTCGAGGTTTGCGGAAGCGCGATTCTAGTCGCTCGCTTCGACGTTCGAACGAACGGAATCTACGCTGTCTCTTGGAAAAAAACGCGTCGATAAGCTTATCTGAACGTGCCAAAGTCCGCGTTGATCGAACGACCAAGGAATTTTTTCGCCTCCCTACGCTGTCGCGATCTAATCGACTTGCAGAAATATTCGCTGCTCGTCGAGCCACGGTATCTTTGATTTCGTGATCGAACGAAGAGAAAATTCGAAGAGTTCGAACCGAGCCGCGTAGCCTGGACTCGACGCGAATAGACGATAGAGAAATTGCTGGACGTGGATTGATGATGCTGACGCGCGGTTCGAGAAGAAAGGGAAGCAACGGCGAGAATGGGCTAGCGGAGAAACGAAACGAAATGAAACGAAACGAAACGAAGGAAGAAAAAGAGAGAGGAGTAGATATCTATGGTGTTTGGTCGGTTCGAGGAGCGTTCGTATTTCAGAAGAATATCCGTCTCCGTACGCGGCACAATGAGCGGCAAGGCATCGTTCAAAATAATTATAAACATCGAGAAACGACGATCAATCTTCCGTTCCTCTTTGATAATAAACGAATTACAAGGATGACGTGGACTGGGAAACGAGAAAGCGAAGAAGACGCCGGGATGGGACGGCGACGAAGCCGCGAAAGGAGACGGATGGAATGGCATATGTAGGTGGGGAAGAGGGGACTCTAGGCGAGAAGAAGAAGAAGAAGAAGAAGCAGAGGAAGGTAGACAGCAAAGGTGGAGGGTAGGAGCACCCGCGGAGCGCGTGATTTAAAATGCTAATTTTTTTCGTTCGCAGCGACAGCGCGTTGATTAAGATGATCGCGCGGTGGATGCCGCGTGGAAAGGAATTTCATTAGCAGCCATTGGTGTACGACTTAGAAATTTCACGCGACGCGCGCTCCGTTTATCCGAAATCTATTTTTTTTTCCAATGAAATTTTACTAAATATATCCTCGTCGGGAGGAAAGGATGGCGGAAGCAGCCTCTCGAATTCTTCGAGCTGGTGGTTAATTGGAGAACACCTGCGAAATATTCGCGCGTACCCGTTAACGTCCGTCGTTCCGTTATGCGTCCTACACCGCAGGAATCTGCAGTTTGCCGGCTCGATTTTCCGATTCTCCCGTTTCCGCTCCTCCTCGTTTCTCCGAGACGACCGTCGACAAAATAAAACGCGATTCGCTCGACCGATCGCCTCCGCCGGTCGATGAAACTTTATTTATTAATTTATCGGTCGCACGGCTGAGAATCCTCTAACGCGTACGTGAAAAGTCACGCATCGAGGTACGCGCGTTCGATGTAAGAACGCGAGGAACGCGAGGAACGCTGGAAGAGAATGCAACATGCTACGAAGATAAATTAAGAGACGCGAGTTTCTCGAGTCTTAACGAGAGGAAGCTGTACATCGCGGTTCGCGATGTTACAAATACGAGGGATACAGTTATATTCGTCGAACGCAGGGGTGCGGCGCGAGGTTAAACGAAACGGGGGATGTATTTTAGAGTCGTAATTGGAGCATCGAGCAGGGAAGATGAACGAAGCGAAGGCGAGCAAAGAGACAAACAAACGGAGAGCCCGGAGCGGTTCGAAAGCGGAGGAAAAGAGAAGGGATGACCCGCGAATCCAGCTGTCTACAATTTCACCGACGAAGGTGACGTCGACGCTGACGTGCTACACGACCATCGGGTACGAGGTCAATGGGTCGGCCGTCCAGCGTGCCCCTGATAACGACGATTTTCTCGCGAACTCGCGTTTCTAAATCGATAAAACGCGTGTTAGCATCGACCTGGCGATTGCGCGAAGAAAAAGAGAGAGGAGCATCGATAACGGTACCACGTTCGCACCAGGCTACCTCCTAGATCGTAAATTTTCAATCTAAAACACGGATGAGTTCACGGTTACCTGCGTCTCTCGTCGAACCTTCGAGAAACGCGGGTTTCCAAACAAAATCCGTTTGATCGCGCCTTAGATCGCCTCGGGTGAACACGCTAGAAAGGAAGATTTTCTCGAAATTTCCCGGGAAAGCGAAACGTTAGGAGAGCGTTAGAATTGGCAAGATAATTAGTCGCGAAAGGAGGTTTACAGCGGACGGCATCGATTCTCCGCGTGCGGCCTCCGACGATAAATAAACACCTACGTAACTGCCCGCGGCGGTCCCGCAACGGAACGACCTAATGATGGGAAGGAGTGCTCCTCGGCTTCTTATACCAACCTTTCTCTCTTTCTCCCTTCGCTCGTCTCCTTTCCGAAACGATCAACGATCTCATAATTAGTCGCGTTCCGGTGTTCTTCGAAGCGATTCGGTTATACCAAGACTCTGATGATCCTCGCGAAGTTAGAGAGAGGAAGGGTCAAGTATCGTTTGCTACGAATTAAAGGAATCGTTGCATGGAGAACGGTGGATGATACAAGGAGGGAGAGGAAAGGAGCGTGTATCGCGTGGCCGATGCAACACGGACTGATTTTTACGCGGCTAATAAGCGGGTGCCGGTCCCCTCGGGCGGTAGTTCCGGCTCGAAGGTGGCAAGGCGAAGAGGAGTAGGCGGCCACGCCGAGAAGCGCCGCGAGTCGATGCTATTAAGATTTCCGTATCGTCGTCCCGTTAGGACGAGACCGGCCAACGTACCGGCTGCTAGACTCGCGCACCTTCATTTCGTTTCTAAAACTCGCCTGTTAGTCATCAGCTTGCAACAAGTTTCGACTTTTTTGCTCGTTATCCGCTTAGGTATATTCGAGTCGCCGCAAAGTTGCGTTTCCAGAGGTATCGAGGTTCGATCGGGATCCAGAGGAGGAGATCCCGAGAGAAGCGTGCACGGTCTGGGAAGGAGAAAAAGATCCGAAATACACCTGCGGATCGGGACGGGCAGAGAACCAGTCGACGCGGAATAACTGGTATTAATACGTCACGTAATTACCGTGCGAGAGAGGTGTACGGGTGTGTGCGTGTAGTCGAGGTTGGCCCGACAGGGCAACCCAGCACACGCGTATCCCATCGGATCGGTTCGAGTCCGTTCGAGCCGCGGAAGATGGCGAGAGAAGGTGCATCGTGCAGCAAGTTTTCGAAGCGGAGAGGAGCTAGCTCCAGGCCATGCTTCTGTTCCGAGCCATTATGATAATTTCGCCGGAAAGAAGGTTACCGGCTTGCTCCGTTTGCCCTCGAGTTCCATCGTCGCGACGCTACTATGTACTCTTATTAATCGAACGCGTTCGTTTCACCCTCTGGATCTGGTCCCTTCTTCTTCCGGCGCGTCCTGATACGATTCAACCCCCGCGAAATTCTAGGAAAGCGTATTAAAGCCGGTGGTAAGAATCGAGGAAAGTCGAAAGGGAAAGGATCGTATTTTGCGCGGATCGAAAAGGAGAGGAAGGGACGAAATGAGGAGAAGAAGAAGGGCGAAGGTAGGTAGAAAGGAGAAGAGAATAGAAGAGAGGGCAACGATGCACGGCCAGTGGGCCCGCCTAACATTCCCACGGTGCCTGCTCGCATGCTACTCCATGCTACGCTCTTACGTTATGCCAGCTACATTAAGGTCGAGGAAGGTACGAACGGACGGTCAAGACGAAACCGAGTACCGAAAGGTCGAAAAGGGAAGCCGAGGGTCCCGGGCGTGTCTCGCGAAACAGAAACAGAAACAGAGACAACGGAAGAGTATTCGATCGTCCTTGCTCCTTTGTACGCTTTCGAAAAGAAAATTCTCCCTTCCGTGGACGGGACGCGTTTGTCATACGGAGAGTATGCGTGCGATTCGCGTGGAATCACGCGGACCATGCGTGGGAGATTCTCGGCGAAAGAATTTCTTTTAACGATACGTCCTTCCTTCGTTCCGGTTCGCGGCCAAGAGAACGCTCTTTTGACCTACTGTCTTTCAAATCCTCTCCTTCCCCGCTGCTCTCTTGTCGCGGTTCCTTCCTTCCTGCCCTTCGCGAGACCCTCCAACATTTTATTTCCTCCGTTCGCGACGTTTATCGAAAGATTACGAAAACGTAAGTTTGAAAGGGACATGTGGAATCTTGGTTGGAAAGTAACGGCGCAATGGAAGGAGCGCAAACGGTCCGGGTTAAGCAAGTATCGGCCCACGTCTATCGAGGACTGGTTCGCGACGCAAGGCAGGTGAGTTCTACGAGTTAACGGCTATTGATATTTGCATCGCCTTCTTTTTTTTTCTCCTACCATAATTACCAGTACCCTTCTCCTCTTCCTATTTCCCCCTTTCTGCTCGGCTCCTTCTTTCTAGATTCCTCGCGTCTCCGTTCGTACAGCGAGCAATTTATCGCGTATAATCTATTCCTCTCGGTGCTCGTGTACCGTAGCTAAAAATATACCGAGACATTTTTCAGAGTTTCGCATAAATTGCAATTGATATTTCATCGAGAAGCCTCGGGCGGTAGAGAAGACAAGGAAGAAGGATTCGGACGATTCCTTCGTCATCGGGGAATCGAGAATCGGTGGGTGTGCGCAAAGTCGAGTAACCTACGGGTTTGCGCTGACCGCCTTTTCCGAGTGAACTTTCACATTCTGATCGCGCGAGAGCTCGAAGGTCGCTTCTCCTCGCTCGCAGTTGAACGCGTTACCTGCACACGTTCTTCCGTGAAACCGTTTCTCGAACGAACCGCGAAAACGTGGAGGAAAGAAAATTCGTGACGTCGACGAGAATAAAACTGATGGTTGGGACGAGGTTAGGGGAGGTGGAGGGAAATTTAGCTAGACGTCCGAAGAGCAGGGGGGAAGGAACAAAGGGTAATACGCGCAACGTTGGACCTTGCACCGTTCTGAATATGCATAACGAGCCGGAGTTCCGATCGCAATCCCCCACGAACGGTGTCAGGTACTCTTGACCCGACGACAGTTTTGTCATGCTAATGCGACTATTTTGTATTTTAATGCTCGGAAGGAGATTATGCGTGTAAATAGGCAGGCTACGCCGCGGAACCGACCGCTTCGATGGCGCCCGAAGTTTCGTTGCCGCGGGAACCGTTTTCCTCGTTCCTGGTCCGATGTATGTATAACGCGGCTGAATCCGCGATACAAACCGCTTTCGGAGTTCGTCGACTCGTGCAACCTTGTCGAAAGAGAGGCTAGCGAAGCGATCGAAGGCAAGGAACGGACCACGAGAACTCGAGAACTCGAAAGAGAAAGGCGAATCTAGCCTGGACTGTGAACGGGTAAGGAGCGAGAAGACGGTAGTCTAGCGGATGGCAGCGCGGACCGAACGTTTCGACGCTATTAATCGTGACCCAGCACCGTCTTGGAATCCCGTCAAAGTCGTCCGCGTATACACGCAGCCGTCTCGGACGTATCAAGAATCTTACCGCCTCGGGGAATCACGCGGATCGATTTGTTGGTACTCGCGCGTAACGGCTTTACCGTTCTCCAAACTCTATTCTCCTTCGAGCTCCAATTCATCCACGCGTTCTTCGAGATACGGAACGAATTACGGTCGGTTTCGTAGCCCTACGACCGAAAAACGCTCCGTTTCCGTTCGGATTCCCCCGGGGAGACGGCATTATCCGACGTTATCGGAGCGAGTTCCTCGTCGCGTCGTGTGCGGAGGATCAAGAATCGACCGCCACTCGGATTACTAATCATTTCCCGGGTCCGAGAAACCTCGCTAATTGATTAAAGTCACGATCCTGACCCTGCCGTAATATCGGCAATCTCTTCTCTCGGCGCGCACTGGTCTTCTCGGAGAGGTAGACATCGCGAACGTAGAGGAAAGTCGGGTGTGTGTATGTGTGTGTGTTTCAGGGAGAGCGAGAGAGAGAGAGAGAAAGAGAACACGTCGAAAAAGAAAAGGTAAGAGGCGAAAGAGTAGAGTTTATCCTCTCTCTCGCTTCGTATGTTGGCCTCGCGTAATTTTTTCCATCTCTTTCAGTCTTGGTTCCTTTCGAACCTTTTTACAATGCTCATCCTCTCCTTTCTCTCTCTCTCTCTCTCTCTCTATCTCTCGTCGTTTTGGAGTGCCCCGAACGCTCATACGAAGAGGCCAACTAGCCACCTCCGTCGCCGTCGTCATCGTCGTCGTCGTCGTCGTAGTCTTGGTCCTCCCATTGTTGCATCGTTCCAGCGCAGCAAGGGAAACAATATCTAATTTCAGTTAATGCGGCCATAATGGGCATCGTCGTTGCATTGGCATGCCGCGCGGTATGCTTCGACGCGAAGAGATAAGTGAAATCCAGCTTGCCGCAGCACCGTACACCTCTAAGGTCTACCCCCCATAACTCGGGTACGCTCTCTTTGGCTGTTGCTGTACCAAGCGAATTCTATACGTCCACCGGATGCAACGAAGCCTTCTTTATCTATACTTTCCTAATAATAGCTGCGATTCTGCGATCATCGGGATGAACGTGCGCGCAATTACCTCGGACGGTTAATCGATCGGGAACGTTGGTCCGTGGAATCTCGTAGCGAACGGCCAGCCTCTTCCTCCACGGGTAAAAGTACTCGCTCGCTTGAGTTGCGAACCATCGAACAGCAAGCGAGTTCACCGCCCAACGTTCAAAGTAATTTCCCGCTCGTTCGACGATAACGGCATCGGGACTGGTAACGATTGATAGGGATTGCGTTGGTACAAGGCGTATGGAAAGGCGCGAGCCGAAGATCTTCTTTCGGGATCGAGACGGTCAAGAATTTACCGTGGTAACACGGCATTTTTCGAAGCTACCTAGACGAGGATAGGGAACAAAGTTCCACTAAACGTACCTTCTTCTCGAGCAGTCGCAATTAAGGGTTAATTAAATTGAGCGGCTTCCTAGATTTCTGTAATCATCGCGGACAGTATCTGCGGGGTAATCTTGAGCGCATCCTGTCTGCCTCGGGGCCCCACGGAAGGAAGGGGCCCCGAGGTAAGGTCATGCACCCCGCTGACCTCGGACCACCGACTCGCCGCCTCTTGCCCCGCGTAACCCCTTCCCCTCTCGCTCTCTTCTAGCCCCCTACCGGCCCTCTCTACCTCCTCTCTCCTCTCCTCTCCTCTCCTCTTCTCGTCCTGGAGTACCTCTTCGCGTCTCGTCCCGTCTCGGCCGAGGAACGTCTTGCCGAGCCTCGACTCGCTTCGCTTCGACTTGCCTTGCCACGGCTGCTACAACCTCTATCCGGCATCATCCTTCTTACCTCTTCTTCTCTCGCCTCTCGCCTTTACTCCTCACCCTCGTTCGCGTTCGCATTCGCGTTTCGCGCCGTCAATGTCCTGTTCCGTCGATATCGTGGCTCCACGTTTTCGCAGCTGTCGTCGGTGTCGTTCCGCGAGGATCTCCTTTTTTCGAGGTTCAGCTTCGACCCCCACCTCGTTTAACCTCCTCTCGAGCATCGTCGCGCTGCTATTTTCCCCTTTTGTGCGCGAGAACTTACGAGGCAGAAAGGACGAGAGCGGGAACGAGAGACGGTTGCGTGCGTTGCGCGAAGCCAACGTTTCGAATTATCGTCAAAAGTCGAGGAATCATCGCGGATAATGAGCGGACGTGGCTGCGACAGGGCAGAAAACTCGGGCCGGGCCGCGTCTTCTCGTGGGAAAACCACGACGATCCTTCCTTCGGTGGAATCGTCGAGGAACTTAGCGACGTCCACGATCGCGTTTAAAGGTTCGGAGCTTCTCGTTCGATACTAATATTCTCGCCGATACGCTGGCTTAACCCCGCGAGGGTACGTTCCGCGAGCTTCCTAACGAGGTTTCTCCGGGCTACGCTCCCTGACCGGCGTTCGTGTCGATGACCGTCTCGCTTACGTACGCCTTCAACAAGGTCAGATGCTATCTGACCGCGAGAGCAGTCGGGATCGCGCAAACGCCACGGATATACCGGTCAATCTCGCGGGAAAACGTGGGAAAATCGTTGATATTTCGCGAGACGTTAAGCGTCGCGTCGCGTCGCGTCGGTGAAACGGGCCACGTTACGGCACGTAAATAAAAGTAGTTACACCTGGCCAGTCCGTGTCAGTGACCAGCTCGTGCGTGCTCTAACAAGGTCAGATGTTATCGCGGCTCGAACGGCCAAGTTCAAGAGGAAAGAAAATAAAAAAAAAAAAAAAGAAAGAAAGAATCTCGGAAAGGGAGAGGCGTGGGAATCTTTCCGGGGTTTTCGTGAGGTCGCGACCGCCTCGAACCCCGTGCCCCTCTTTAATTTGTAGCTCGAGCGTGGCGATGCAGCGAGGGCGGTGGCGAATCGGACAGGTAAGGCGAATCTTTCGAAGCGAGTCGATGGATCGATCGCTGACGGATCGGTATCGGTGCGGGCCGATCCTAAAACGGACCGCGTGAAACGAGAACGCGTTCAGATATAAATAATCGCACTTGTACCGCGTTAGCGCGACGAGTTCCAAGGATGCTAGCGCGAATTCGTTCGGTTGCAAATAAATAGAAGCGTTTCCGTCTCGATGAACTCTGATCTTACCGAGCCGATTCGCAAGCGTTACTCTATTTTAAAAGCGGTCCCCGGCTGTTCGGCGAAATCCGTTGCGTTGGATCGATTCGAGCGAAAACATTCGATACGTACCTTCCCGACGCATGCCCATCTTCAGGCACTTTTTCAATCGACAAAACTGGCACTGATTCCTATGGTGTTGGTCGATCGGACAGTTCCTATTCCCTCGACACGAGTAAGTTAGGTTTCTCCTCACGCTTCTCTTGAAGAAGCTTTTGCATCCTAAAAAGAGGCAAAGTTTTACAAATTAGAATCTCAATCTCCTCTTGCCGATTGTTCCTCGCATTCAACGGGACAGAGAAAGAAAGTACGAGAGTAACGATACTTTTAATCCTTGATTCGATCGGAAGATCGGCTGTCTTTAAATCGAATCGTGTTCGCTCGTATCGTACACTCGATGACTCGCCGTTTTCCCCGGCATCGCTTCCTCGAACGGTTCGCTCGAACTACCCTAGACCTTTCGCTGTTGACTCGTTCGCGGAAAGCATTTCGATTTCCCGTCGTTCGATCGTCGATACGTAACCGTGAACGAAACCAGCGCACGATGAAATTCGGTGATTTCGTCGAACGAATGGACGCGATGGATAAATGGGTAGAGAGGGTTCGTTGGTACTTGGAACTGATCAAGAGGCAATTCATATCGCGGCAACAAAGCGTCTTCTGTATGGAAACGCTCGAATCCCGATAAAGAGAATACCCTTGACGTCGTCGGCGATACTAATCGGAAATCACCAACTTTCCTTCCACTCCGCGACCGATCGTTTTGACCGACAATGATTTCAACCGGGATGATTCTGATCGCCTTATTTCCAGATTCGCTCGTTTCAACGGTCGACTACTTTTCGCTAATCGCGAAACCGTACAGCGAGTAAGTTGAAAATCCACGTCGTCGACGAGAACGGAACTGGCCGCGTCTTCGTGGTGGTCGTAATCGTTGTCGTCGCCGATGTTGCGAAAGAGAGCGAGGGGTCGCCGTAACTACAAATTGCGTCGTTACACGCAAATTACGCGATTATAGTACGCGAGTCCGAGCACCGCGAAAGACAGTGGTATATGTATATACGCGAGTATGGCGAGAGAAAACGGTGAAACGAAGCCGAGGAAAATAGAGGAGAGAGCGAGGAAGAAAGGTAGAGAAAGGGAGAGAATACCGAAACAACTACTGTTTATACTTTCAGATTGCAACTCGCGCGGCCCTCGAGAGCTGAAATTGCTCGCGTCATTGAATTTTCATTGCTCCGCGCCTCTCGTTCGCGGCCATTCCACTCGATGCACTAGCTCGAAACAACAACATACGCGTCACGGAAGCGATGCTAGGGAACGTCCTGTAGGATTTCGAAACGGAGCGAGAAACGGTGGAGGGAAGGAAGAAGAAAAGGCAGGACGATTCGGTCAGTAACGTTTCGAGTCGGCCGCGTAAAATTAACGACATTGTTATAATTAATTAGTCGTATAGCTCGGCGCGGCTTGGTTGTTCGGGCAAAGCGGTGCGTAGATAGCGCGAGGGCTTCGTTAGCAAGATAATTGGTCACAGAGGATGCGTTCGGGATGCGTCTCGGTTGGTAACTCTATGCCCGATGCACGCGCCGATGTATGTACATAATACGCGTGTTCGCGTTAGATACCTCGCGTACCACTCGCGTGCACTCCGCTTCCAACTCGCCAGCTCCGAGGATCCTGTTAGTCGTCGCCTCGAAAACCTCGGACCGAGCGGGTTGGCGCGAATTACCCGGCACGCAAATAATCGTCTCCCCGACTAGACTGTTGTTGCACGGGGCCAAACAATACGGTCGCGAGCTGGAACGCACGCGTTTCCAAGGGAAATGAGATTAATAAAGATTAGCAAAGTCGGAATAATATAATATGATCTCATTAGAGCGATTAGCCGGGGAACCGCGAAGCGGCCGGGCTGCAGAATGTCTGGCTTCTCGGTGCACGCGGTAGGGTATGCCAGGCATAAGTCTGTAAGTCGGTAAGTAAAACCGTAAGACTCGGAGGGAGAACGAGAGACCCCGAGAACAGGAAGCCCCTTGCGGGTGTACCTCAAACCGCGAGACCGGAATTAAATTTCCTTTTCTTCCCGAACGGTCCGCGAAACCCGCGCTTGTCCCTTTTGCTCCAAATTTCTATCCCCATCCTCTCCCTTGTCTATTCCATTTTTCTATTTCGTCGAGGATGCGAGTTCCGTGTAATTCGTGACAAATAACGAGTCGGTCTTGAACGCTAGTTTACTCGCATGCCGCGAGCAATTACTATAATTGAGACAAGAGGCATTTTGAAGAAACGTTCGCGCCAAAGCGACCGACCACGCTCCTAGGTTCCTTCTTCTCCGTTTTCCACGAAACGGGATAAAACGCTCTGGTATACTCGTTCGATTCGTTGAAATCGCTCGGTGTTACGTAAAGGAAGTGACTCGATCGAAACTGGCGAGCTCGAAGTCTAAAGCGAGGAATTAACGTTATCATCGTGACGCGTGGAAAACATACATATGTATGCGGCGCGTACGTTCGCGTGTACGACACAAACGAATTAATTTATGTTCTTCCATGTACGATGTTAGCCACTTTCGAACTTTGACGTTGCTCCGTTAAATCGTTCTTTATTTAACAGGTATCCGAGGAGGAGGGAAAAATTTTTGCTGAATTTCGAGAAGGAACGCGATCAAAAGGTACGACGATCTACCGAAATTCAGTACCCCGTGAAATAAAGGGTTAGCCGGATGGTTAGGACGGAATAATGAGAGGGTGTCCCGGGTAGAACGCACGAGACACAATACCATAATTATCGGATCGCTGGCGAACGACGCGGACACGATCGTGCTCGTTGGCTTTCCAATGGGTACTGTACACCGTGTCGTCTTACCATCGAACCGACTGCTTTTCTCTACGAAAGTTACTTGCAAAAATCAGAGACGCTCGGATAATTGGATAATTGCGATTCGTTTGGGAAAAAAATGGCGAAAGAACGTTTTCGATCAAAGATTTGTCTTCTCGATCGCGTCGTCATTTTCCAAAGTTCGCGCTGGCTGGACGTTAGTCGAGTTGGAGCAGCAAAGAGACAGGGGCGGAGGTGGGCGCCGATGGTGGAACGAAAAGAGAGAAAAGGGAGCGGCGATCGTGAAGGTAGTCGAGGTCGAACCGCGAACGACTATTGCGCAATAACCAAAGACGAAGAACCTTGTTCCAGACGCGGTACCGCGAATGGGAGGTTCCCGAGCCGCTGTAATCGGCAGATTAATGTTCGTTTCTCGAACTTAATCTCGGGCAAATCCAACGGACGGATTCGTCCGGGACAAGCGATTCGGGATGGTTCGATTCGATTCCGATCCGATTCGATTCCAGAGATCGTCGGCCAATCGTTGGAGAATTTACGAGCGAAACGGAAAGAAGAGTCTCCGGTTTACGTCCGTTTCCGGATAAAAATTCGATTCCGATCGAGGCAGAGTTTCGCTGGTATCTCGGTCAGTTCGGCGATACCGTCGATCGACTCGATAACGCGGTGCCGATCGTCTCGATCGAGCGCAACGAAAGACAGACGCGACAAATTGACGATAATTCGCAACCGTTTGACATCGGTTGACATCAAAATCAATTCGTCGTAATAAAGCGATCGCCGACAATCACCGCGATTACGCCAATGAACGTCCAATGTGGAAGGCGTATGCGCGCTCTGCCGTATCAGCCCCTCGATGTTTCTATGATTCTCAATAAAACGCGTCGTCGATCGTGCCAGTTGATGACAACGCCGTTGACGTCGTTCGATCGTTCGTCTCTCGTTCGCTCGATTTGTCGTTAACGAGTAAAATCCGCGCTGGGACGGGACAGATTTCGAACGATGAACGAGGTAACGCGCGAACATGGAACAAAACGAAAACGAAGGAAGCAGGATGTCGCCAGGTGTCAATTTTCTCGCTTTTCCAGTCGCTCGGCGGTGTCGCTAGCGAGAATCCCGGCTATAATCGTTTCGGCCGAGAAACTAGCAACCGGTCACTGCTGGTTAGAAAAACGAGCAGAAACTATAATTAAAGCAACGGCTTGATCGTAACCGCACGGTACCGGCGCGGCTCGTTGAGTTACGGAGTTTCACAGGCCTCCGGCAAGGTCACGTTTCCGTTCGTCCAGAAGAACCGAAATCGACGAATCCGAATTTAAGAGGGTGCACACATTGGCTCTAACCCTTTCTATTAATCTTTGCGTTTCGTTCAGTTGATCGCGACGCAACGTCTTAGAACTTGATCAAGTAACGTTTGCGAATAGTAGACGGATAAGAAAGCTTTTGTTTCGACAGATTTTCCGGATAAGAGAGTGTAACGAAGGTACGAGCGAAAGGAAATGGGAAAGGAAAGGTTGCGAGAAATCGAGGGGAAGAGAAAACGAAGGGGTAGCGGGTAATTAAGATTGCCGCGAATAGAAATTATCGTCGGATTAAGCGCGTTATCGCGGTACCGTCGAGAGCAACGAAGCGACGAAGCGACAGAGAGAGAGAATGACTCGACCTAACAATGGTAAATATCGTTAGCGCGACTGTAATTGGAACACCAGGGAGAGGACTACTGGTCGAGCTGTAACTCGAGCGTTCAATTAAGAGACGGACTCTTAACCCGCTCGAATCCTACGTTTCCACGCGTCGAATCTTCGTACAGCTCGAGTCGGCACAAATTGTTGGGAATTAACGAGCGCGAACAGGCCGAAAGAGCGACGGGGAGAGGAACGGCCAGATGCGAGGCGACAGCTAATCTTTTGAGCATTATTTTTAGCGGCTCTTTAAACGCTTTGACGTCATTGGTCCCACTTCGACGGGGCGATATCACCAGCTCACCACCGACGGTACCGAGACGCTTCTTTTCCAACGCGTTTCTTCGCCGTCCTAGAAACGATATTTTTTCCAGCCGACACGCGACGTTGAAAAAATGTCTCGTAAATATTTCATCGCGACTAGTCTTGCGCCAATCCGCGATGTAAATGCGTCGAACGAGTACAGCGTATACTTTGTCCAGGAGTCGACGTGGCCGTGCTCTCGCGTTCCTATGTATCGCATACGAAAGCGCAAACTACTATAGCATTTGCCAGCGACACAGAGAAGGACAGAGGGAAGAGAGAGAGACGAGTGCTCATGAATTTTAATGAGAGTTCGGTAGTCGGACGACCAAGGCGACCCATCAGCGCGCAAAAATATCCGGGGTTGTTACATGCGCCAGAAGAGATGGCGAAATGTATCGTCCGTCGACGGTACACTCGCGACTCGATCGGGACTCGAAGCGTATTGAAAGAAAACGAAACGAGAAAGGTTGCGGAAAAGCTAACGCGATCATCGGATCGGAATAATTAACGAGGACAACGCAAACTACTCGGGCCCCCCCCAAGGATGTTTCGAAACGAGAGCAGGGGACGAAAGGGCGTCGTCTCGAAAACTCAACGAGGCATCAAAGTTTTCGTCGCTAGCAAAAAGGGGTACGCTCGCACCCTAATGTTGTACGTTTACGCCAAGCTCCCCGGCTTCGTCTCGACCAGGTGTCGCGCACTTGTTCCAGCGTAATTTTGGGGAGGAAAAATTTCGGAAACGAAAAGTCGAACGCCCAGAGATCAACTAAATCACTCGAACGAATCACGAGATATAAATTACTACCGACGATCCAGTATCGATGAGACGTAATTCGAGATAATAGGAAGGAACAGAAGCAAGAAACGAGGGTAAGGAAGAAGAGGGTGACCGCTAAACCCGTGGGAGGATGTATAACTCCTGATTTCCGAGAGAGCGCAATACATCCTGATTAGCCGTAGTCCATCCGACGCTCAGGCGGACATTTTTCTTCGTTACACGCCGCGTTTCGAAGCGCGAATCGGTTGACAGGGATTCAACGGGGAATGCAGAACAGGGAAACTGAACGGATCAAGCTCGAAAGCGAAGTAACAGACTCGTTTTCGGCCGTCGAAACGATTCGTTTCCCTCGTCCCGGAACGAACTTTGAAAATACCTACCGACAAAGAACGAAATAAACCCTCGGCCCGTAGCTTTTTTTCTCCCTCCCTTTCTGGCTCGCGGTCTCCCTCTTCGACCACTCTCTTCTCGTCCCTCCCGCCGCGTTTTCTCGGCCCTATTACATCGTTATTAGGCTCGTAACAGACGCGTAAGCGTTCCGGGGAACACCCCACCGAGTTATTAATGGCGAGTCTTTGTTTTTTCCTAGCCCGTGCGCGGCCGCCGGATCCAGGACGGTCCATTGCGTGGCGGCTCCAAGTAGAAGAAGAAGAAGAAGAAGAAGAAGAAGAAGAAGAGGAAAAAAGAAGAAAACTAACGGACAGGTCGAATCGATCGATTCGCGCGCGAGTAAACGAAGAGTAAGAAGACTTACCTTCGCAGGTGAACTGGCCGTAATGTTTACCGCTGCTCTTGTCCCCGCAGACGACGCACTCGATGTTGGGCGATTTGTCGGTCTGCGAACTGCCGGATTGCGAACTGTTCGCTTGACTTCCTGGGGTAGTGCTGGGTGGCAAGGGGTCCCGAGGCGTGAGAACCGCACCGGCTGGCACTAAGCAGGTAATGTCCTCCGGGGTAGCAGAGGGTGTTAGGTGGGTCGGGGGCATCGGGGGAGGCGGCGCGATCTGTATAGGGCCCGGTCCAGCGGTGGAGGCTGCCACGGCAGCGGCTCCAGCGGCGGCTGCGGCTGCGGTCGCGGCCAAGCTGGCCCCGGGGTCCCGCGAGGGCCACGAGGGCGGCGCGGCCACCAACGCCATAGAGGCGGTGGTGCCGCGCGCCGGGAACCCCACCTCCAACGTGGTGGTGAACTCGGGGTGGTGGTGTCCAGCTGACACCCGGCCAGGGAACAACGTCGCTGTCGCGGCCGGGTAAACCACCCCGGCAGTCGCCAGGGCGTCAGCGCCTCCTGTCCCTCCTCGAACCACCCTGCCGGTTTCCTCTTCTCGGCCGCGACCACCGACCACCCCGAGACGGTTTCCGCCTCCTCGCCGTTTCTATCTTTCCTTTATAGCCCGGTTTACTACTTTTTCTTTATCCTACCGGGATCCTTTTATCTTTCCTCTTTGCCTTTTCTTCCTCGATCCTTCTTCTACCTTCACCCACACCCGTCCAACACCGGTATCGTTCCTTACGCGTGAACGCGCCAACTCGGTCACGCGGTCCAACAAAACCCACGCACTTACTTGGCTATATTCCTCACTCACTCGCGCACTCGTACAGAGTACGCGCTACCTCGGGATCGACGTCCCGAGGGCGACATCCTTGTTCGTCACGCGCGTTCCGCGTTTCACTACAGGCTAATGATCGAAGCTCCAAGTTTTCCTTCGTCTCTCGATTCGGATAGAGATCGAACGCGCACTAAATCGGACCGAGAACCGACCGTCGATCGACGATTCGTTCGCGTGTCGTGATTCACTTCTGTGTACGAAACTCGCGGTAACCCTCTTCGATGCTCCGTTTCCACGCACTTTGCACTGTCACTTGGGCTACGCTAGTCGGAGAACACTCGTGCCGCGGGAAAACGGGTCGAACGCGTTGACACCGGGTCGAGTTTCGGATCGGAATCGAGATCGAGATCGGGATCGCGCGCACGCGGTAGATCAGTCGCGTATCCCCGCGGTATCGTGGTATATCGACGCTGGGTGGATGCGCGGTGGCACGAGCCACCGAGGCACAGGGCAGAGAGGGTGTGCGCTCTACGCACACCGTAGGGTGGGTGGTGGACACTGGAGGTGGGGGAGGAAGGAGCGAGAAGAGAAGGAGAGGCGGTGGCGGCGGCGGCGGCGGCGGCGGAGGAGGCAGAAACGAGAGAGGAGCGAAGAAAAAAGAGAGTAGAAATAGGGGTGGGGTGGTGAGGAGGAGGAGGAGGAGGAGAGCGAAGATAGAATGAAAGAGAAAGGAGAGAAGAGAAAGAAGGAGAGAAAGAGAGAGAGAGAGAGAGAGAAAAAGAGTGGGCGCGCGCACAGCCAAGTCGATAAGCCACGCGTGTGCCTGTGGGTACCCGAGTGCGCTCGTGCCGGCACTAGCAGCAGGAGGAGGAGAAGAGAGGTGATACTCGACTACCGCCTCGATACGACTATTCTTGGGGCCGACCAGAGACCGACTGCCGACTAAGACGACCCCTGACACCGACCTGTTCCCCACCAGGCCAAACTCTCTCGCGGGTTTCTCGCGGGTTTCACCAGTTGCCATGACTACCGAAGGTGGGGTCGAGTCCCGGGCGCGCCCCGATGCGCCTCTCATTGGCTGCCGCCCTGCCCTACCTCGCGCCCTCCGACCCCTCTCCATTCCGCTTCGCCCGTTTCGCCCGCTTCGGCCGCACCGCGCGTCCTTCCGCGTACACTTTACCGCCGAACAGCCTACGCCACGATATCCTACCTCTTCTCTCTCTCGCGCCACCATCGCCACCGCTTTCCTTCCTCCTCCCTTTCACCACACTCCCGCTCCGTCTCCCTCTAGCACGGTCAAACGCGCGCGGCCCTCCGCGCTGTCTCCCGTTCAAACTCTTTCCTCGACCAGGGTTACCGCGCTTACACTACCTACCGATTTTTTAATGCACTCGTCGAAATCGAACCAGTTTCCTAGACGCGCCAAATTACTCGACTTTTCCTCTTCCACTTCCCCTCCGTCAACGCGAAATCGAGTTCGGTAAAAATCGCGTTTCGACCTCCGATACTCGTTATAGGAAACCACCACCGTTCGTACGGCTTCGAAGTTTCTCAATTTCCCTCTTTTTTTTTTCTTTTTTCGTCTCTCCGCGTTTTGCTTCGTCTCGCGACAAACTTACGCGTTTTCTTAAGCGACAAGAAGGTTCCTGTGTCGTCGGTTCATCTTCGGAAACTCGTCAAAGTTGAAGGACAAACGAGGCGGTCGAGCGTCGCGGTAGGATACAACAATCTCGACGATAAACGGAACCGTTGGTCGTCTTTCACGGATTTTCTTCCGTTTCCTTGGATACTTCTTTTGCGAACGAGGTACGAGCTGAGATACGACGAGGGAAGCGAGGTCACGGGACTAGAGGGCGGCAACCAATCGGGACGAGGAGTCAAGTGGGGCGCGAAAAATGGGCCGGACCGTTTCAATCCACCCCCGAGGCTAAGGGTGAGGGTAAGAGCCGCGACGGAGTAGGGTAGACCGACAGGCTGGAAGACGACCGGGCCGTCGACGCAGGGTCAGTCAGGTCGCGGACCTGCACCTCTGCGTTTCCGTGTCTTCTGCCTTTTTGCTTCACCCTGCTACGCTTCCAGGATTTGTTCTCCTTTCTTCCGCTATTGCCCTCTGCTCCCTTTCTTCCCGAAAACATACTCATGCAACGGGAGCACGTTTTCTTTCGCGCTTTCTTCGCTCGACCGATACAACCTCGTTTTTGATACATCTTCTTTCAACTAAAATATAATAAAATAAGATAAAACGTTGGCGCGTGCGAATGAACTTTTCCTCGACGCGCGATCGAGTAGAAGTTTACCGTAACGGAAGAACACAAGCGTAAGCGGTCTATCGATAAATCGAAAGAAGAATCTTAAGCGCAAGCGTGAAAAGTAACGGTCGTTTACTCGTTGATGAAAGATATAGTCGCGTGCGGGCGAGCTTGTGTAATGGTCGCGTCGAATATCCGGGATGCGGTTAGCGAATCCATGACTCGTAGAACGCGACAAGGATTCGAGGGTTGTTGAAGCTAGAGGAGCGTTGACGGTAGTAGAAGCTGTAACAGGGAACAGGGAACAGGGAACAGGGTGTAGGGAACGGGGAACGCGAAAGGGGGGGGGGGGGGCAGGGAAGAAGCGGGGTGGGTTGGCGCCGTGTACAAGTGCATATCGGTGAAGGGGTGGCCGAACAATGCGCTCGTTCAATGCGCTCTAGATATGATTACCGGAAACCATCCCATAATTACTTTTTGTACGTCGAAAACGCAGCGAGCCCCCTCGTTTCGTTTCCCTCCCTTCGGCCCTGCTTCTCTTCACCGCTAAAACCACCGACGTCCTTCTCTCTTTCTCTCTCTCTCTCTCTCCTCGTTGTTCCTTCTGTTGCCCCCCGTCGGTTCTTTTTCCCCTCTTAGCACCGCTGCCCTCTTAAAACGTTCGCAACGGCGCGGCCTTCTTCGCGTTTCAACCTGACACGCGCGATGCTTTTAAAGTGCCAGCCAACGTTAACGCCACTCTCGAGATGATTTATCGAAATCGTTGCGTTCGCCGCAACCGCGCTTCGACCATCGCCACTCTCGCGGCCGAATCTCTCGTCGGGAAAAAGCGAAGCCGCCTCTCTACCTCCGCTTCGTCCATTTCTCCTTGGCAAATTCGCGCATCCACCGGATTCGATAACGTTTCGACGATGTAACGCCGCTGGAATTTATAGTTGCCCATCGAGGAAAGTATAACGACGCGATCCAACGATCCGGGAATATCTACCGGCGGAATTGTCTCAACGTCTTTGACTGGTTTTAAGTTATTATCGTGTCGGCGCGAACTCTTCCCTTCGTATCGAGAACGGAGACACCGTTTTTCTCTCCCGAGTGGTTCTCATCGTACACCCGGCTACTCGGAGAGAAGAAAATTCAAATTTCAACCGGTCGGAGTTGACGCGACGGATAAAGGGTGCTGGATTCGATCGTTCGTATCTACCGCAATCACTGCTCTTACAAACTTTCTATGGTATTAAAGGAGAAACGGATTAGGAAATTGCAGGATCGAAACGGTATTGTTGAAAAATCGACAGGAAAGATTATCGATCGTAACGAGTGAATCGGATTAGAAAAGAGTGGATCGGAGTAAAGTGTAGGGGGTTGAAGGGACGCGGAGGCGAGAAGATGGCAAAGGGGAGAATCACTGTTCGCTCGGAGCGGTGGTTACGGTAGCGGACGCGGTGGTGGTGGCGGCTACATTATGAGTGTGTTCATATTTCCTGCGTTGCCTCCTTCCTTCCCTTATCTGTCTTCCCTACCCTCCGAGCCCTTTTGTTCGCACTCTTTCGACTGTTAATGCCGCGAAATTAACTCCGGCAGGAGCGAGTTTAAGAACCGCTACAAGGTGCTGTATATACGTACTCCCGTTCCCATTCCCGTTCCCGTTCCCGTTCCCGTTCCCGTTCCCGTTCCCGTTCTCGTCCAAAGAGCGCCCGAAGGCCGTCTTCATTGTCCCGCCGGCGTATTATTTTAACATTATCTGCTACTCGACTGCCGCTTAATTAATTTATTTATGAGCCGAGGCGTACGACGATGGGCAACGATCGAAGGCCAAGAGGGAAAGAGTCGGAGGATCGGACGGCCGAAGACGAGGGTGAGCGAGGGTGAAAGAGCTAGTGAAAAGGAAAGGGAAAGGGAAATGGAAAGAAGAGGAAACAGGAGAAAGAATGGAATCGTGCCGGTAGGAGATTTGTCTCCAGAGGTTCAACGGTTCAACCCCTTGTCACGACGACGGTGGTCGAGTCGCGTCGACTCGACGCTTCTTCGACCGAACAAGGTAGCCCTAATAACGCTTCTTCCTTTATTGCCTCTCCGCTTTATCGTCGAGCAAAGAAACTACTTCGCAAAGGGTGGCCGACCGGCAGCGTACGATCGCGAAACCCGCCAACGAACAGTACCTAACCGGTAGTCAAGAAGAGGAAAGGAAAAGTTTTTCGAAAACCTTTGGAAATTAATGCGAAAAATCGGTCGAACCTTTCTTTCCGAGATCGAGCAATATATCAAACGATTCCCTTCGAAGGGAGAACCCCCTCCGGGGTGGAAGGGGAAGTGGAAAGGGGCCATTTGCATAGGGGAAAGATCGAGGCACGGACAGGCTGGTCAGTCGGTCCGATTCGAGATCACCTGTCCCACGATTATCCGGGGTCAAGATTACCAGTGGGACTACTTCCCCGGGAACGGGCCCCTAGCCCGAACGTCTTCCGGACGTTCGAGTTTACGATAAATTAATGGTTTTTCGGGGGGTCAACCTTCTCGACGGTCTTGCCAGTCGGTCTCACGCGAGAATTCAAATCGCCAACTGTCCTCTAATTATTTATGGTCGTTCGCTTCGCTTCGGCCACTCGGACACTGGTTGGACAACCTCGTCCGCCGAGTTTTGTACCCGTGTCCACTGAAACTTTTTCGATCGAATCCGAAAATTTGCAACGAATTCGCGAAACTTTCGTTCCACGTCTCTCGAATTCAGAACGTTCGAATTTTTCCCAAGGTAGCCGAACAACGATTAGCAAAAGGCCGAGTTCGAAAACCTCTGTGTACTTTAGTCTGTTCGTAACCGTTGAACCGGACCCGGGACGAACAATGCCGGTAGGATCGTTAACGATTCCATGTCAGACCAGTGTGGTGATTCTATAAATCGGAAGAAAGAAAGAGAGAAAGCGAGCGGAGCGCAGGTGGGACGCTAATGGTTCCGCGTCAAACGTTGGCTGACCGTTTAAGGTTCTCGCCAAACTGTTCCGTCGTTTCATTAATCTCCCGTGAAATTTTCTCGTGTGTAAACAGCTTTATTGACAGCTTGGCCGATTTTTCGAGAGCGAGAGTTCAGCGAATCGCAAAATTTCAGGAAAAGGGCCGCTTTTACGTAACGTATCGATCGAAGAGCGTGTCGCTCGCAGATGCCTGTTCGTTTACCTTATCCTTTCCTTTTGCACGCCGTGTTCCGTTCGTTCTTTCCTATTAACCGTTCGAAAACGCGTTCGCGAGCAGCCGTGAAACAAGGAATTAATTGCGCGGAAAGGAAATAGCCGAGTTTCGACGACACGCGATGCGTTCGAGGATGAAAACGCGTGAGCGCGTAGGAAGGGTGATGGAAAGGCACCTACGCGCAGGGACCGCAAAGAAAGGTACTACGAGGGTGGCGAGAGTCCCCTGGGGGACCTATTGTCCGAATACCCTGATTAAAAACCCATTCCCCGGTTACGCGCTTTAGAAACCCGCTCGAATCGAAAATTTGAGAGCACCGCGCGATATCGTGCGTACACCGATTCGTTTAGGACCGATCATAAGGGAGAACCGAAGAAACCTCCTCGACTTTATCCCTCTTTGTATCACTCCTTCTCTTTTTTTCTTTACAGAAAACTGTAAACGCGGAACGGTGGTTGTAATAAAAATTTCGAACAGAGTGTATAAGAAAGGGGTTGGTCGGTGGGACGAGTTCGGTTCGGCAAAGGGAGCGAGTTTGGTGGATAGTTGGTGGCGTTAAAAGCCACTCGACGACGTAATTAGCAAAGCGGCGACGATAACGGGGTCGTGACGAGACGAGGCGAGGCGAGGAGAGGAGTCGAGGAGGCACCCTTCGTTCGCGAGAGCCAGAGCAGGGCGAACACGACTGTTTTTCTGGTCCATGAATCTTTTAACCGGTTACGCTTCGTACGGCGAGGGAAGCCCCTCGCGTGGAAAACGGTAAGCGGATACAGTTGTTTGCCATCTACCTGTTCACCTGTACGTTTTCTCGAGCACGCGAGTCGACATCGACAAAGGGGACGCGGAGAGAATACCCCATCACGCGTACGAATATAATCGAACGAGTCCGGAACGAGAAAGGGTTCGAGCGTGGCAGCGTGGAACAAATCGAAGAATCGGTATGTCGAGAGTCAACGGATCCGTTTTCGAGAGGGATCGAACTCGGACGCGACAAACGCGGCAGAGAAGGTACGCAGGTGGTTATATAGGTGGCATCGGTACATCGAGTCTGACTCGATAATCATCGGGGATGCTGACGGTCAGCAGTTCGGGGGCCTATTCACGCGGCGTTACGCGGCCTTTCACGGATATCAGGTTGCCCATTAGCAACTAGAGAGGCTGTCCAGTAATTACGGCTTAATTAATCCTCCGAGGCTCGTCTCTGACTCGACTGATTAACGTGCGCCTCTCTCAAAGGAAGAGCCGGCAATACGATGACCTTCCACGCCGAAAATCCGCTACCGTGACCCGTGCTTGCTTCACCGCTTTGCCCTTTTCCATCTCTGCTTCCTCTACATCTCTTCCTCTTCCTTTCGTTTCAGACCGTTCGAGGCCGAATTACACCATCGGTATCATCATACCTGCTTGTTCCTATCGTTTCGCAAAGAAGGTAAGAGCGAACGAGAAAGAAAAAGGAAAGGAGAATAAAGGGTCCCTTGGTGTTTTTCGAAGGACCGTGGCACGGTGACGATGGCCGCCTCCCGAACGACCGAGAAAAGATCCTGAAAGGTAATTACTCCGTGCTAGGTGCAAACAATGGCTGTTCTACCCTTTGCTCCGCGTGAGAAACAAAAACTGCCCGTTAAGCTGGAACGAAACGCCGCTCCACGACGGCCTGTTTCGTATACCTGTTCGTGCGCTAACGGATCCACCGGCGCGGACCAACTACCTTTAACGTCTCACCGTCTTACCCAATGAATTACACGAACATTAATCAACCGCATACGTCGAGGGATAGCCGAAATC